ACGGTCCTTGATTTATATTTTTTCAAAATTTAATCCCAAGGTTAAATTGATTAATTAAGGGGTTAGATTAATTAATGGGGGTAATTGGGAGTTACTGTCAAGGTTTGGATGCCCATTTGAGCCTATTAGACCCTTTAATGGGTTCAAAATAGGGCTTCAAAGGCTATTAGGTAGAGTTAAGCCTAGATATTAGGCTTAAGTAAAGCTACCCGCTTTGGATTATTTATCGCAGCAAACGTGATGGAAATTTTAAAATTGTAGAATGCGATTAGTTTCAGTGCAGAAAGGATTTCTCAGGGTTTTGGTTGAGAGAAATCGCGAGGCTCTACTAGGGTTTCGACTGGGTAAACCTTAGAAGCATTTTTGAAGCATTCAAGACTTTGGATGAACTTCCTAATCATACATTCTCTCTTCTTCTTGGAACTTATATAAGTTTTAGGGGATGTGGTAATAATATCCAAACCTAGGCTTGAGTTCCAACAGTTCCTAAAATGTAAATGGAGTTTATAATTGTTATCAAATGCTTCTAAACCTAAGTTTTGGTTAATGGCAACATTAAATGCCATTAATGAAAGGTTTAAAATGAACCATAATTTTAAATGTTTTCCTCCACTTCCTTTCCTACTTTGTTGGCATTGTCATATTAAATATTTTTAGATAAGAACTCTTTAAATTTTTTTTTCTCAAGTTGAAATTAAGAATGAAAGTAAAAAAATTGAAAAGATTAATGTGTTATATGTTTTATTAGTCTAAAAATAAACATTTGGTCAAAATTCATGAAAATATATTAGATGATTTATTTTTTATAGTAGAGGTTACCTAATATTTCTTAAAAAATAATTCATAATTAAATTTGTACCTTTATACATGTTGAGATAGAGTGCCATGTGTCATTTGTAGTCAAATTTTGTGAGGCCCCCCAATGTCTATCGAGTGAAATTAATGTAGGTTACTAGATGCTTTATTTTTAAAATTAAAAATTTATTTTATTTCATTTTATAATTTAAGTTATTCAATACTTAAAAAAAAAGTAGTTGATGATTAAATTTGTTCCAATACTTTTAATATTATTGTCGTTGTTTTCAGCGTAACTGTGAGTGAAAATAAGATAAGTGGGGGCAAAATTGGCAGGCGAAGCAACGCAATCAAATATGATATTTTCATTTATTTTTGGAAGAGATATGACAAAGCATCCTTGTCCGACATGCTTACATGCTTTTGAGTTATATATATATACATATATATATACTTTCAAATCAATCAATCGGTGGTTTATATATAATTTAATGAAAAAAAAAAAAAATCAAAACTCATTTTCAAGCTAAATAGTGTGCCTTTTCCTCGCTAACAAACCATTTTATATTTGAAACTAGGATAAATTCCGATTTCATCACATGGGACCATAATTGAAATTTCATTTAAGTGTGAGGGATCTTAACTGAAATTTTATTCGAATGTAAAAAGCTGACCGTCATTTTCACACTTTTTTAAAAATAATTTTTTTATTTTTTAAAAAAATTTGGGGGGTGGGGGGCACAGCCCTATTGGCCCCCTTAAATTGGTCACTGTTTGAAACTACATTAAATTTTAAAATAACTCATATTTAAGCCTTTGAATCTGTCCAACTTCAAATGAGAAACTTGACCCTTTTTCACCTTCGGTCAAAAAGAAAAACAAAGAAACTTTTTTAGTTTTTTCCTTAACCAATGATTATTGTTACTTAAATTGTAAATAAAACTAAAAAAATAAAAAAACTATTTCATATGGTATATAAGAAAATTAAATATTTCTTCTAATTAAACATGAAATTAATTAGGGAAAAATTATAATAAAATTTCTCTAAAATATATAAATAATGATTCGGACTCTCAAAATGTCACAATTCTCTAAAATCTCTAAGAATTTTTTTACCATTAGTGAATTTATATAAATTATCAAATTATTCTTATTAAAAATAAATTATTCACAACTTTTTTTTTATATTCACAACTTTTTTTTTAAATTCGTAACAATGTAACAAAAATTACAATTTTTTCATGTTAAATTTCTTATTTGTTGTTGCATTATTGCCAATAGAAGAAAGAAAGTTGTGAATATAAGAAGAAATTATGAATAATTTATTTCAACAAGGATGATTTGATAATTTATATAAATTTATTAATGAAAAAAGTTTTAAAGACTTTAAAAAAATTATAGCATTTTGAAGGATCAAATTATTATTTATATATTTTAAAGTTTTATTATCATTTTTCATTAATTAAATTTACTCTATCCATTTAATATTATAAGATATTTTTCAATGTGTTATGTCAAAACATATAAGACGTTTTGGATATTTTAAAATACAATTAATAAGATTTTTTTAAAAAAATATTCTTGATTAGAGAGTGTAATTAATAATTTTTTTAATTGAAGCACCTTATTAAATAAGGGTAAATTAAAAAGAGTGTAATTTTAAAAATAATTAATTAACTTATTAATAAAATTATTTGATTAAAAATATTTTATAATTTAGAATGAAAAAGTATTTGTAAATAATGCTTTGTCAATGATGATACCATTTATTGCAAATATTCTAACAATCCCTCTTTTCTAATTTTGAAGAGGGCAAAGTTGAAAACATGTATTAGCTACATTTAAAATTGGAGTAGCTATTGTTTATAATTAAGACTAACATAGTGTTTGGGAGATTTTTGGGATAGAATGGAGTAAAGTGAGATGGCTAAAAGTTTCATACTATTGTTTGGAAAATTTTGTTAAAAGAAAGTAAAAAAAACTTGGAATAACCTTCCAAGCCATTTTAAGTCCATTTTTCCTATCCCCCAAATGATGGAATGGCCTAATATAACTCACATTATTGTAAAATCAACCTAATTTTTCTCATCCCTTCTCATTCTTTTACTTCCCCTTCATCCTAAAATTGAAAAACATAATTATATACAATTCAAATATATTATTTTTATAATAATTCTTAAATAATAATTAAATAAAACTTTCAAATAATGAATTGTTTCATTCTATTCCGCTCTATTGCACTTCATTCCATTTAATTCATTTCATTAATTACCATCCATTATTATCTACTCTTAAACATATCATAAGAAAATTTGGTAATTTTGCTTGTATTGTTTTTCATTTTTATTATAAGTCACTTCAATCACATTACCATGAGAGAATTCTCCTCCCCTTTCGTCCCTTCCCAATTCTTGACACAAGGATAAGGTTCAAATGGTTTATATTTGTTCTCTCATGAAATATTTCTTTTATTTTTTTTTTTATCGTATTTTTAACTATTCATAACAAATTTTAGTAGTTTGAATTGTTTATTTTTTTATAATTTAATATTTTAATAATAATAATTTTATAAAATCTTGATCTAAGAATAGGAAAATGAGGAAAAATTATGGGAAAGTTAGATGAGAGAATCTCTCTTCCCCCCAGAATCAAAGAATAACAATTAAAGGTCCACATTTGGTTGTTGAAAATGATGAGAATGAAATAAATAAAGAAATAAAAGTAAAAATAAATTAAATTATTCTCTCTATCATGATAAGCATGATAAATTTTAATATCACATATTATAAATATAAGAGCCATCAAACTCACTACTAAACTCATGAATTATTATTTTCAATATCATAAATTTAATTATCTCTCATGAAAATGATTGAATTGTAACCCCTTTATATTTTAATTAATTATTATTATTATTTTTTTTATTTCATTCCATTCTTATCATTTCCAATAAGCAAACATGACCTAACCTGTTAAATCTATTTTAAAATTAAATAAAATTCCAACTTCACCCCTAATAAGAGGAGAAAAAAACGTAACATCCTATGAATCATTTATTATCATTAAGTTAGTATCATTTTTTTTAAAAAAAATTTTTTAGGATAAAACTAAAAAAATATCCCTCTTTTTTATTTATAAGAGAAACTATCACTTTTAATTTTTTTTAATATAAGCAACATCACATTTTTCAATAAGAATTTATTGCAAACTTTTTAAATCATCTCTCATAGTTTTATCATTCATAGTCATAAAAAAATACTCCCTTTGTTAAAAAATGTAAGGCATTTTTAACTGAATTTTACTCTCAATAAAGTAGTTACTTACTTTTCAACTAATCATATCTTTCCATATTTATCCCTATTAAATACCCTATAATAAATATAAAATTATTATCAATAGGGACATTTTTTTAAAAAGAAGATAATGATTACATTTCGAAAGACTAAAAATGCCTTACATTTTTAAACATTCAACTCCTCAAAAAATACCTTATATTTTTAAACGGAGGGAGTAATTAATAAAGGCTTGATTAACACAATTTATAAAAGATATTATAGTCTAATTCTTTTATTTTCAAACATAATTAATATAGTTAATCAATTTTCTTAAACTGTGTGATGTAGTTTTTCTTCCTATAAATAGAAACGGAGGGGATATCAGTTAACATTTTATTTGACTTATATTAAGTACTCTTTCTGTCTCAAATTATAAAACACTTTTAAAAAAATTTGTTATTTCAAAATATAAGACCCTTTGAGAAAATTGAGATTTTATTAAATAAGTTTATTCTAATATTATGTTTTTCTCTCTATTTAATACTAATTAGGTGTGTATTTAAAGTTATTGAATGAAAAACATTTTTAAAAGTTTATATTTTTATTTTAAAAATAAAATTATTAATTATATTTAATAATAATTATTAGTATATAAAATTTTATTTAAAAATATTTTATAATTTAACACGGAGGGGGAGAGTATTAAAAAACGTTTTTAAATCGCAGCTACGAATAGTCAAGAGGAGGGAGCACAGTAACGGTGTCATTAATTATCCAAAGTGTATTGGCGCAGTCAGTTTTTGCAACATAAATTCTCGTTCTCACATACTAATGGCGGTGGCGTTCAGAGCAGCGAGCGGTAGTAATCCGTTGAAAACGCGTATTCAAAATCTGGAACAGCCCACCCACCTGACCACGACAAAACGTGATCCACTGTTTCCCTTTCATCATCCAACCTTTCGTGTTCAGATTAGACCCACGCACTCCTTGTGAGCCCGGAGAAGGAAGCTTCCTCTCTCTCGCATTAATTCAGAAAAAAGCTCTTGAAATCGATGGACGTATCGCAGCGTGACATGGAGTGAACACAAAAAGATGACCCACCCATCAACCATGTCCATAGCTGTCTCCATGATGGTTTTGGTCTAACAAACATGACCCCACCCACTTTCTTCTTTATCTTTTTTGGGTTCTTCGTTTGTTGCTTTCCAGTGCCAAAATCCTGTGAATTCGTCAAACAAGACGTACGTCTGGAATTTTAAAATAGTAGAATTGTGGGGTTGTTATGGTATTATTGTATCTTTTTTGCACTCATCCTGTTTCTTGTCATATCTTCCACTCTTGACATGAAGTTCTCTCCTTTAGTATTCCTATATCTTCTTGGTCTCTCTCCAGGATATGAGAAGCTAAACTTGACTGCGAATGTGAATACCTTTATTTTTTTGTTCTGACCTTTCTGGGTTCGAGAGTGTTCATCCAATTTTGGCTTATTCATTCTTTTCATTGATTCTGTTTTGTGGGTTTTTCTGTCTCATCTTGAAATTTTCTGTCAAAGTACTGTCTTTTCGCTTGTGAGTATTTGTGAATTGTGACCACATCATCAGCTTTTGGCTCTCTGTTTGTGGTTCATCTAACGTTGCTTTGTAGATTCCCTATCCTATTTCCGTTTGCGTATATGGATTCTCGCAGCTGCAACTGCAAATCTTTTATTGGGGTTTCATCCATTTTCTGGTTGATTTGGGTTTCATTTGGAGGTGTTTCTGGTGATGAATTTCTCATAGATTGTGGATCCTCCAACACCACTAAACTGGGAAAGCGTGTATTTCTAGCTGATAATTCTACTTCTCGGTTTCTTTCAACCTCACAAATTATTTTGGCAAAGGCGGATTCCTCCACTGTTCTTCCATCATCTTTTGATTCAAACTGTACGAAACTGCTAGAATCCTTGAAGGTGTTTCTCAATACACATTCCCAATCAAAAAACATGGTAGGTACTGGATTCGCTTGTATTTCTTCCCTTTTAGTTCTGGAAAATACAACATGAGCTCTGCAAAATTCTCTGTTTCTGCTCAAGAAAGAACCACCTTGCTCAAGGATTTTCAGTTAGATAGTGATTCTGTACGGAGGGAATACTCTTTGAACATCTCAGAGAACCAGCTTGTGCTCACTTTCACACCTTCTTCTAAATCATTTGCCTTCATAAATGCCTTAGAAGTTATCTCAATTCCTGATGAGGTTATTCCCGAGCAAGCCGAGAGTGTTTACCCACAGGGTGATAATAGGAATCTATGGAAGCACGCCTTGGAGACTGTTGCTAGAGTGAACATGGGGAATCAATCTGTATCACCCCTAAATGATAGCCTGGGGCGTGATTGGGTGCCCGATGTTTCGTTTCTTATCCACAAGAATTTTGCCAATTTCACATCCAACATTACGGCAGTGAATTTCAAAGCAGCAAACATGTCAGATGATATTGCACCTGCTGAGGTATATGGTAGTTTGACTACATTGAAAGTTGCTGGAGATGATCCCAGATCCAAAGCAAATATGACATGGTTTTTCAATGTTGATCCTGGTTTTGATTATCTGCTTCGGTTTCACTTCTGTGACATTCTGAATCTACCACCAGACTCTCTCTTTAATGTTTATGTTAACTCAGGGCTCGTTTCTGCAATCAATGTTGGCACAGTAATGCCATATCAAGGAGCCCCATATTATGTGGATGCAATCACAAGAGTTAGTGGTAGCTCTAATTTGAATGTGTCTGTTGGTATACCTAGTGGGGGTGAATTTTATTCTCCGCCCTTTCTCAATGGGCTTGAGATCATGAAAATGAGCAATTCAGAAGATAGCTTGGTCTTGGACTCTAAGAGCAGTTCCAAGAAAAAGCTTGGTATTGTAGTAGCGGCTTGTGTGGCTGGTTTGGTTGTGATTGTTTTAGTGGTGGCTATGTCTGTTGTGCTGCTATTCCAAAGAAGAAGAAACCGTCTCCATGTGAGTCATGAGAATGGGAAGGACCTTTCTGGCATGAGTAGGATGGATCATTCTAACATCTTTTCCAACTCAAAAATTGGGTATCGCTTTCCACTTGCGGTCATCCACGAGGCAACTAATAATTTCAGTGAAGATTTGGTCATTGGTGTAGGTGGTTTTGGGAAGGTATACAAAGGAGTTTTCAGAGATGAAACAAAGGTGGCTGTGAAGAGAGGAGCATCTCAATCACAACAAGGTCTTGCAGAGTTCAGAACTGAAATTGAGATGCTATCACAGTTTCGCCACCGCCATTTGGTATCATTGATCGGATACTGCCATGAGCAAAATGAGAGGATCATCATATATGAATACATGGAAAACGGTACACTAAAGAACCATTTGTATGGATCAGATGATAAACCAAGTTTAAATTGGAGGCAGAGGTTAGAAGCATGCATAGGAGCAGCCAAGGGACTTCACTATCTTCACACTGGCTCTACCAAGGCAATTATTCACCGTGATGTTAAATCAGCAAATATACTCCTCGATGAGAAGTTCATGGCTAAGGTTGCTGATTTTGGTCTTTCAAAGACAGGTCCTGAGATTGATGAGACACATGTCAGCACTGCAGTGAAAGGAAGCTTTGGATATCTTGATCCGGAATACTTGACAACACAGCAACTAACAGAGAAATCAGATATTTACTCCTTCGGTGTGGTCATGTTTGAAGTCCTCTGTGGGAGACCTGTGATAGACCCATCACTCCCAAGGGAGAAGGTGAATCTAATTGAATGGGTGATGAATTGTCTGGAGAGAAAGAACTTGGAGGAAATCGTGGATGCTCGTCTCGCGGATCAGATAGAGTCAGATTCGCTGCAGAAGTTTGTAGAGATTGCAGGGAAGTGCTTAGCAGAACATGGCAGTAACAGGCCTACCATGGGAGATGTGTTGTGGCACTTAGAGTATGCCCTAAGACAAGAAGTGGTTAGTCATGAATCGTCACAGATTCGTCAAATGAATCGCTCTGATACTGGTTTATCAGGTGCAGAATACACCATGGGAAGCATGGCTGGCATGTCTGAAGTTTCAATGAGCAAAGTGTTTGCTCAAATGGTGAGAAGAGAGGATATGAGGTAGAACATGTTACATAAAATATTTTCATTTGCTTTTCTAATGTAAGTGGCTCAAGAAAGTAGTAATTCAAATAGGTAGTTGGGTTTTGGGTTGTTTCTCTATGGTGTTACACTGAAGTGAATTCAGTACATATTGTTGCATATGCCATGTGATATATGGATACAGCATAGGCATTGTACCTAGAATTTGTGCAAATGATTGGTCTGTATACTATATTTGGCATTCACGTATTAATGGTGATTTGGTCTTACATTCCTTTGTTTTTTTACCTGATACTCACTCTTGTGCTTTTTCTGAGATACTTTTAACTATTTTATGTATATTAAGAAAAATTAGTTTTTTTTTATATTTTGAAAATAATGAGATATACTTTCATTTTTATCTTTAATTTTAAATAAAGATATAATTACATTAAATATTTTCACACGAATTAAGAAAGGATATAATTGAAAAAAGTTATTTAAATATTATAAGGTGTCTTACATTTTATATCAAAAATAATTTTTAGAAGGCATCCTGTAAATAAGACAGGATGGATTATATGATAGTAATATTAGTTAATTTAGATTTGAGTTGGGTGGGATTCTAATTGAAAGGAGCAATCTTGGATTTTTTTTTGTATTGTTTCATATAAAATACATTTATGCGTTAATAAAAAAATGATATATTTATGGGAGAAAGAATTGATTTACTGTTTATTTAAGCTAGGGAATTGAAAAGAAATGGGGAAAAAGTTTTAAAAATTGTCTCTTTATTTGACTAATAAATTGTTTGGTAATGTCAATTTTCAAGATAGAAAGGGAATATTAAAATTAGGTTTGAAGCTACCTTGTTATCTTCTGTTCCCATTAACCTAACTTATAATGTAGAGTAACCATTTAGTGTTCTATTGGCAAATGGCAATGGTTCATTTTTTTTTTTTTGGCTACTAACTACCAATCTATTGCTAAAAAGTTCAAATATATAAATTTGACATCAAATTTGAAAAAACTGTTTTCCTTTTGGCTTATTTATGCATTTCTAATTAATTATATGATTTGATTAATAAGGCACCTACACCTTGTGCAAATGATTGCATCTTGATGTTATATGTGGCATTCACCTGCCAAGGTGGTGTAGTTTTACATTTCTGGTTGTTTCATGGAAAATACAATTCTGCTTTAATCAAAAGATTAAAAGTATATTTAAAGGATAAACAATTATTCCACTCTTTATTTATTTAGGCTAGGAAAGTGAAAAGGAATGCAATTTTTTTAAAAAAAAAATGTTTGGTATTTTAATGTTGGTTTATTGGGCGAAAAACAAATTTCCAAGATTAGGTTTGAAGTTACCATTATGTGTTCTATTCCCATTGGAATGTCAATTTGGTTGATGTTGGTGACATTCTCATTGCTTAGTTATGTAGTCCATCCACCTTCATCAACTTCTAAGAAAAATCAGAAATCAAAGTCCATGTGAGCAACAGATTGTTGGCCTTGGAGATATTTGCACTCTGCAATTTTCTGCTTGCAAGCCTCCATTTAAGCCAAAAAAAAAAAACGTCTCTCTCATGTGACTTTTTATTATTTTGATTTAGTGTTCTAACTCTAATTAGATAAACAAGGCTTTCCAATTCTTTATATAAATCAATTTTTAATTTTTTTTCCTTTATAAAGTTAGAGAAATTAATATTTTTTCAATTTTATTCCTTATTGATTTATTATCATTTGAATTCTTAGACAATAATTTGTTATAATTATTTTTTTGATTGTTCACAATTATTTTCTTATTCAAAATGATTATGTTTGAGATACAGTCCGCCACATTATGAAGAACAAATCCTATCCACTAAACTTAACTCCCATTGATATTTATTATAACTATTAATTATAAAAGGAGACATAATTGAAAAGTTACATATTTTTAACAATTTTAAGGGTATGGCTATAATTTTTAATAAACATAAAATTGATTAAATTTATCATATATTAAGGATTAGAATGAGTAATTAAAAAAAAAATAAAGATGCAAGAAACGATGCAAAAGACACAAAGTCAAGTCATATAAGAGCTTAAAAAGTTTCTTTTAATGAAATCACTATACTCTATATAAAAAAAAAAAAATATGTGCGTGTGTGTTCATTCTTTTAATTAAATCAAACTGCTCACAATGTAGCTTGTTCATCCATATTCAATTTGTAGAATCAACGAAACGTTGCTTCTACTTAGCCTCTATTTAAATTTGTCGTTGGTCCTCCTTATACAGCATGGGAGTTCACATTATTTTTGAAGTAGTGATATCATTTGATTAAGTTTTTTTGGGGTTAAATTTCTTTCTTTTTTTAGTTAGCAATAATTAATTTATTCACATACCATAAGCTAATATTTTCCGTGCAAGGCACTCAAGGGGTCAGTGTTTGTGGTAATTGCAATTGACTGTGACATCTTTAACATAAAATGCGGATGATGATGACCCCACATATTGCTTTGAAGATAAAATAAATTAATTATTAGTAAGTGGTATTGCACTCTTACATCCATAATTTATGTATTGTATGTTAATTATATGTCTCACAATATATCATTGTGATTAAGTTACCCAGCTTGACTGGAATTTAAGACATGAAATCATCTAACTATACATGTACTTCTTTTGAAAGGAAGAAGCCTTGGTATTCTGAAGTCTGTACTATTCAGATCAAAACCAGATATTTGGACGGTCACTTTGTTAACATAAAGATAGTTTTATCACTGTCACTTTGTTAAAAAAAATAATTTTTTATATAAAAATTACAAATTTAAAAATCTTAAATCTGTATTATTAAAATCAATTTTAAATGACCCAGACCTTGGAAGCTTGTTTTAGAGACCTTTTTTTTTTTTTTTGCTTTACCTACTTGTTTTTAGAGACTTTACTTATCTGTCTTTTTTATCAATTATCACTAATCTCACACCTTCACATGTGACTTGACTAATTTGTATTGTGTATTAAACATGCACTTTATACATTTGAATCTCCCCATTTGTTTAATACTTGATTATTCACATGTGATTCAATAAAATTTTACCTTAATTATCGAAAGCCTAATACAATCTTTCTCTTTTATCCGAACTTAAGAATTGTCTATAAACATAGGTAGAGATATTTGTGATCAAGAAGTACTTAATAAACTTTAAAAAAAATTTATCAAATTGCTATAAAATTAATCATGTTATACAATAGTAAGAGTTAGGCTTCAAAAGAACGAGAGTGCAAAATTGGACTAGTTGATGTAAAAATATTAAAATAAATGTGCGAGCATGTACAAAAAAATAAAGTTCATAATAAGTATATACAAAAAATAAATAAATATGCCATCTATTGAGAGAAAGATGGTTAAAAAAATTATTTAAAATAATCTAGACATATACAAAAAAGACCACGATAAGCACTAGTGAGGAGAATGAATAGATAGTTTTGAATTCGGTAAAGAGAGAAAAAATTTGCTCATGAAAGTTGTTTATTATGATATTTTGATTAATAATATTCTTAAAAACTTACTGATAATAAAGCAAAAGAGCATGATTCAATCTATGTGGCTAATTTCAACCATTAGAATAAAGCTTCTTGTTGATTAATACTTGATTAAATTAGGAAAAACAAAAAAGAAAGGCCTTTTAAACTTGATTCAAGACCTCTTATAGTTTAATAAGATCAACAAATTAATTTGAACGCTTAGGTGTGTAAAATTTTTTAAAAAATAATTTTTTACACCTAGATGTTCAAATTTTGATTAGACAATTAATTCACATTCAAACCTATCTCATTAACTAACTTATGAGTTAGTTAAACTTTTTATAGACACTTGAATCACTTCGATTGTGAAAACAGCACACACCAAAAGTTTGTTATTTATACTATCAAATCACAACAACAAAATCAAACATGTGTACCGCACCACATGTTATAGATGGCCCATAACTTGATTTTGTAATTTTAAAGCATGCAATAGTGCATATAAATGCATAAAAATTATGTCTTGAATCAAATCAAAATGATATAAAAAACAATCATACAACATCTCAATCCAAAATCTTCAAAATAATTTTCTTTATTAAAGTAGTGAATAAACATTTGAAAAATAACAGTACTTGTCAGACTACATATTGAAATGCTATGAAACATAAAAAGGTCACTTCGGTATCATTATTAAAGTAATCCCAGAAAACAGAAAGGAAAGGTCTCCCTAGGAGAAACAAATCAGTTATTTAGCAAGTGAAAAACACAATATTAAAACCCAAGTCAATTTAATAAAATGCTTTGCTTATAACCTATACAAAATTTGATTACAAACCGTTAACTCTTACACACTTAACCGGTCTAAGAACCAAACAAAATCGTGAAGATTAATGCCGAAAATAACCTGACCACGACAAAGCAGATTAATATCCCAATGATTTTTATTTTTTTTGTCACACACTAAAAATGAGACGTAATGCACACAATTTTTATTATTTTTCCGATAAAAACACAAGGGGTACTTTTCACTCAAACCCCTATTCTCTTTTTCTGCTGATTACCAAGATTTTACATTATTAATCAGCACCCTTCTGAATAAGTGGCCCGAAATGCGAAAAACTAGACCTAAAGGACATAGAAACGCTAAAGATAACACATCAGAATGCAAAGCATTGGAAGGAAAACTGCGAAATACTTTTCACTCACTCTGTCAAACAATTTTCCCTGGATTCCTTGACATACTTGGCACCCCCAAGAGATGCTGAACAAATTCATTTCACAAACATGAGGCTAACAGAAGGAAAATAATTAGTGAAAGCTAATGGAGAACACTACTAATTCATATCACAACACATACTATCTAAATCCAGCCTCTTCTCAATATTGACAGAGACTGGTGATTCAGAAAACAATGTAAATACAGTGGCAGTTATACAGGCCATGCCACCATCACATGTGATCAGACCTGCCATCATCCTCACTATTTGCATCACCAGCATGTCTGCAGGGGAAAAACATAAAAATAGGATCAGAATTTTAAATCCCTTCAGACCCAACAGCTAAGATGAAGGGCCTGTTTGCTTGTTGGAAATAAATGGAATGGAATGGATTAAAAAAAATAAAGATAAAAATATGATGACCAAGATAGAGAGAAGACACAAGTCAACCATATTCATAAGGGGGTAATCCATGAGATTGGGAGTCATGATTCTTAAAGTTTATGGTGGGTGTGGTGATTCCCACATTTGAGGTATGTGGTATTGAGTTTTTTCATATTT